ACAACTAAAACATAGAAAAACCATCCTAAAAACCAGTTGAAGACCAGCTGGAGAGCACCCTCATAACCAAGGAGGAAAAGTGGAGACCGCATAGAGACTGGAAGAAAGTACAGACGCGAGAGGGCTGGCCGGGCTCCCACAGGCCGCAGCTGAAGGTTCGGAGGGATGCCTCAGATGTGGGGGGTTCCCACTGAGGACTCTGGGGCCTAAACCCCAGGCTGGGCTTCCCAGCCAAGAGCACCAGAACTGAGAAAGGTGCCCACATAACATCTGGCTGTGAAAAGCAGCCGGCTTGCTGTTGCCAGGGAGAGGCAACTGGAACTGCAGGCACCCCCTTAAAGAGCCAATGCACAAAGTTTCCTGTGCAGTCACTCACCTTGGGCTCCGGTGGAGGGGGAACAGAGTAGACTGGAGCTGTGTGGGGAGAGTCTGGGTTATGGGTTCTGGAGACTGAGGTCAGGGGACGTCCATCTGCATTCCTGTGCCCAGTCATTCCCCCAGACTGTGGAGGACATCCTTCTTGGATGTAAAATTTTTGGCTTTTGCCTGAGGGGGAAAACAATTGCCACACCCTGCAGGAAAACCTCTGGCCCTGCCCAGGGGAGTTTCTACAGCCTGAGGCTCATTAAGACAATCAGGTTAATCAGCCTGCAGGCAGAGGCAGACCTCAGAATGCTTTGAGTCTTTGCCTGATCTGCTTCGGGACCCAGGCCTTGGAAAAGCAGACTTTGGTGTGCATCTTGGTCCTGTCCAAACACACCCAACCCCAACAGAGGGGACCTCAAGCTGTGGGTTGTTGATAGCTCCAAACAGGAGACTTAGGACCAGTCACAACTGCATCTGACATTGGCCTGTACCAGAGACCCTCCAAAAAGACTGAGAGTCCTAGCAGATCTACCGAATACTTAGAAACAACCCAAAAAACGTAGCTAAAATAAGGAGACCAAAAAACAAGCCCCAAATGAAAGAACAAGAGAAGTCTCCAGAAAGAGCTAAATGAAATGGAGATAAGCAATCTCTCAGCTACAGAGTTCAGAATACTGATTGTAAGGATCCTCAACAGCATGAAAAAAGCTATGGAAACTATGAAGAAAATTACGAATGATATAGCAGAAATAAAGAATACATTGGAAGGAATAAACAGCAGATTAGAGGAAGCTAAGGATCGGATCAGTGAATTAGAAGACAGGATAGAAAAAAATCACTCTATCAGAGACCCAAAAAGAAAACACAATTAAAAAATAGAAAGACAGTCTAAGGGAGCTGTGGGACAACATAAAATGTAACAATATTTGCATTATAGGAATGCCAGAGGAGGTCAAAAGTAAGCAAGGGTTAGAGAAGCTGTTTGATGAAATAATGGCAAAAAAATTTCCTAACCTGGTCAAGGAAAAAGCCACATAAGTTCAGGAAGCAGAGAGAGTCCCAAAGCAAGAAGAATCCAAAGAGGCCCATGCCCAGACACATCATAATGAAAATGCCAAGAATTCATGACAAAGAGAGGATCTTAAAGGAATCTGGAGAAAAGCAATTTGTTACCTATAAAGGAGCCCCCATAAGGCTGTCAGATGACTTCTCATCAGAAACTCTACAGACCAGAAGGGAATGGCATGAAGTATTCAAGGTAATGCAAACCAAGGATCTGAAACGAAGACTACTCAATCCAGCAAGCTTATCATTCAAGATAGATGGTGAAATAAAGAGCTTCCCAGGCCTAAAAAAAGGCGGCTAAAGGAGTTTATCACTACCAAACCAGCATTGAAGGAAATGTTAAAGGGACTGCTGTAATTAGAGGTAGGAATCTAGAGAATAAGAAACATACATTTCTTATTTCTAGAGAATAAGAAATAAAATGGCAGTAGATTAATATCTTTCAATAATAACCTTAAAAGTAAATGGATTAAATGACCCAATAAAAAGATATAGGGTGGCTGAGTGGATAAGAAAACATGACCCAAATATATGCTCTCTACAAGAGACCTACCTAAGAACAAAAGACTCACACAAGATGAGAGTGAAGGGATGGAAAAATTTTTTCCATGCAAAAAATAGCTGGGGTAGCAATACTCATATCAGACAAAATAGACTTCAAAGTGAAGACCATAATGAGATACAAGAAAGGTCATTACATAATACTAAAAGGATCAATCCAACAAATGGATATAACCCTGATAAACATATATGCACCCAATATAGGAGCACCTAAATTTATAAAAAAACTTCTAGAGGACTTTAAAGGAGAGATCGACAGCAATACAGTCATACTAGGGGACTTCAACACCCCACTGACTTCACTGGATAGCTCTTCCAGACAAAAAAATCAACAAGAAAACAGTGAACCCAAAGGATACACTAGATTAGAGGATTTAATTGACATTTACAGAACATTACACCCCAAAGCTGCAGAATATACATTCTTTTCAAACGTACATGGGACATTCTCAAAGAAAGACCACATGGCAGGACACAAAACAAGCCCCTGCAAGTTCAAGAAGACTTAAATCATATCAAGCATCTTCTCGGACCACAATGGCATGAAATTAGAAATCAACCACTATAAAAAAACTAAAAAACATTCAAACACATGAAGGCTAAAAAGTGTGTTTTTAAACAATGACTGGGTTACCAAAAAGATCAAGAACTAGGACAAATATTCCAAAATGTATATGAAACCACAAAAGACCCTGAATAGCATGAGCAATTTTGAGAAAGAAGAACAAAGTTGGAGGAATCACACTACCTGATACCAAACTATACTGCAAGGTCATAGTAATCAAAACAGTATAGTACTGGCATTAAAAACAGACACATCACTCAATGGAACAGAATAGACAGCCCAGAAATAAACCCACACCTTTATAGTCAATATTTGAGGGCAGAAACAAGATGGTGGCGCAGGTAACAGCTGCACCTGCCGCCCCCCCAACCACATCAAAATTACAACTAAAATACAGAACCACCAGCACTCAGAGCCTCCTGAGATCTGGCTGCACAGAAGCCCCACACCCAGGGAGCTGAAGCAGCACCGAGACATGATTTCACTCATATGTGGAATTTAATGAACAAGCTGGACTGATAAAATAGAGACAGACTCATAGATAGCAGGCAGACAGCTCTGGGGCAGGGATGTTTTGGGAGGTGGAGGGATTGAGCAAAAAAGAAGAAAAGAGAAAGAGCTCATGGACACGGACAACAGTGTGGTGATTGCAGGGGTCAAGGGGCTGATGGAGGTGGAAGAGGGTATCGGGGTGATTAAATGGTGATGAAAAATAATAAAATAAAATAATAGGAAAAGAAAAAACATTTTCTACAATATGGTGAAAAGAAATTGCTTGTTCCAGCTAAGAACTAGTACTACTCACAAAGGTGCTTACGTCTATATACTAGGTATCAAAAGGAAATTTTTAAAGAGCAGTAACTGCAGCAGTAAAGGTACCTTTCAAATTCAGTACCAGGTTAGGCAAAAAGAAAATATAACAACATCCCTGAAAAGTATATATTTTGATTTTTCTCTAGTCCTACCATCAAAGCAATATATCTAGGAGAAAGGAATTACAAATTCCCTGCACTCCATGGATCTTTATGTTCTGTGGACTGAGGTTTAATACATAGTAAGTTTAATATTTTTTTAAAGTAGTTAGGTGTTACTTTCACAAAATAAGAGGTGCATGTCTTAAAACAATAAATACAACTTAAATATAAAATTTTCTCTATAACAAACTGAACCTACTATCAAAATGTAGTCTCTTCCCACTTAGAAAAATCAAACTTTTAATTTATTGTGATCACAAAATGGGCATCAGCCGGAGTTAGAGTTCATTATAAATCTCTAGCCCCCACAATCATAAGGACAAGCTTTGATTTACATTACAATTGAGAATGAGACTGAAGATATTGTACAGGAAATTAACATTTGGCTTTGGTGTTCTAGTGACTTGAAGCAATATTGTAGTTGATTAGCATAAACCAGCGAACCTATTAAGTAGCACATACAATTTGTCTGTGGTTCCATTGCCCTCTAGTGGCTATTTTGAAACTAATTGTTAAAAGTAGTATTAACCTTCAAAAATCAGCAGTGGTTCTCAAAGCAGGGCGGGCAGACCAGAGGCATCGACAACATCCAGGAACTTCTTAGATATGCAAATTTCAGGCCCCACCTAAGATCTACTGAAAAGAAACTATAGATGGTAATCTAATAGATCTAGATGATCTATTGCACACTAATGTTTGAGAACCACTAGTATAAGGAAAGCCTTCTATTCATATTTCAAGTAGGTATGAAAGTATATGGGTGTATGTGAGTGTTAATTTTATGTGCTAACCTGACTAGGGATGCCCAGAGAGCTGGTAAAACATTATTTCTGGGTGTGTCTGTGAAGGGGTTTTTTCTTCAAACAGATTAGCATTTGAATTGGTGAACTGAGTAAAGCTAATGCCCTCCCCAGTGTGGGTGGTATTATCCAATCTGTTGAGGGCCTACGTAGAACAAAAAAAGCACAAGAACAAAATTGCTCTGCCTGCCTGAGCTAAGACATCCATCTTCCCCTGCCATCAGACATGGGTGCTCCAGGTTTTCAGACTCAGATCAGGACATACACTATTAGCCCCATGGTTCCCAGGCCTTCAGACTTGGACTGAATTACACTATGGGTTTTCATGGTTCTCCAGCTTGCAGACAGAAGATTGTGGAACTTCTCAGCCTCCATAACCACCTGAGTCAATTCCTATAATATTATGAGAACCAGACCATTACTTCTAATTCAGGCTCCAAATGGCTACTTTGCCAGACAACAGGCAAATATATCTAAGTTCTAAATTTCTTCAAAATCAAATGAGAAACTAATTTAAACAATAAAAATATTAATATACTCACTCTCACATTCATAAGTAATGTACCAAAACTGATCTCAAATTAAAGAAAGCAAAACTAAGAAATAACACACACATAGACACACAACAGTTTCTTTACTAACCAATGAAACAAAAAACAGCAGAATACATCTCATAAAGAAATAGTTTATTCCATTAGGAAATACTTCATTCTACATTCTGTTTGTACTGGTTTTCCATCAACTTCATCAGGTTGTGTTTCTTCACTTTTGTTTGGGTGCAAAGTTCCATAATAAACAATAAGAAAAATAATTCCAAAGAGAAGAGCAAGAGCTATAATAATACTGATAGGTATAAAATAGTCTGAATTAAAAATAGAAAGTGGGCAAACCCACAACACAATCAATATCCCCAATGTGGCCAGTACCCTTACAATATAATAACAAGACATTGGACATTTGGTATTCTGTCCCTTAATATTAAAAAATGTAAAAATAAGAATGAATCCAACAACAATCCTGTATAAGATCTCCATACTTATGGAAGCACAAAACTGAGTTTGGTTTTTAAATGCCCACAATATACCTAAAAACCAAAGAAATAACAACAGATATAAAGCAATATTAACATTTATGAATAAAAGAAGTACAACACTCAGCATCCAAGATAATAATGTAAAAAACTTGTAAAAGAGATATGTGAGTTTGGGACAGGGCCCATTAAGGACATTTTTATCAGGCAAGGATTTTCTTAAAGCTACTTGATAATCAACAGTCGACCAAGAAATAGCACAGCAAGAGATAATGAGGGCTGCATCTACAAAACAAAAAAATTTAAAAAGGTATATTGTTATAGGAATAATAATAGCAATATTAAATTACCATAAGCCATACATGCTTTATCTGTATTTACACACATACACAAGCACATCAGTCACTGTATATACTCATCTAATTCTTTGAGATAAATATTAATATTCCCATATTACATATGAAAAACTAATGATTGAAGAATATATATTACTTGACCCAAGTCATACAGCTAGCAAAGTTGCAGACAGTTGAGATTTGAATCTAAAGCTGCCTCATTCCAAAGTTGGTGTATTAGACTGCTTGGTGTATTAACCACTGCATTAGACTGCTTTACAAATTTTTGAATAAATTGTACAAATTTTGGACACATTTTATTGAGCAACTGGTATAGTGAAAACTATATAGGGTACTCTGAAAATTCTCTAAAACACTACAGTTATAATCCTATCTATTCCAGTCTTTAGCTTTGACCCTAGGCAAGTATCTAACTCACTGAAAGACAGCATCATGAGA